GAGAGAGAGAGAGGAGTGGAGGCGAAACGGACGAGGGTCAGTCGGTGACAGAGAGATGAAGTCTGAAGGCGAAGGTGGGGGATAGCGGGGCAAAGAACGGGAGGGGAACCGAGTGCCGGTTCTACGTTCATTCATAAAACGAAGGCGGAGAGCGACAAGGAACGAATTGTTAGTGGCACTGCTCACAATCACCGGCTCGGCCAACGCGCCCGCTTGCCAACCTCGTCGAGAGCGCGAGGAATATCCGCGGCGCGTCTCACGCGATCGCCATTATCTAGGCGATTACTCGATGAAATGCAGCTTTTTTTTTCTTGAATTTAAAACCATTATAATTACAAGATCTCAAAATCTAAGTACGCGCAAATATAGAAAAAAATAAGAAGTATTAAATGACAAAGAAATAATGGACTTTCTATGTCAAAAGAAATAAACCAATAAGAAAAAAAAAAGAGTCAAGCACGGTACTTTGTTGTGCTAAGATTAAGTTTTAAGTTATAAATAAATTATCAAGTCTAAAATATATCATAATTAATATCGTTGGTATACGTAAAAATTGAAAAAAAAAAAAAAATCTTTATGGACAAACTTTATGAGCTCTCAAAAATCTTCGATTCGTTCGTTCAAACAAACTAGAAACACCCCACCTTAAATTAATGTAATGTGTAATAATTTAAGATAATTTTCGTTTCTTAACTTTGTTCATTTTGCATATTAATTTTGTACATTAATTATAATTAATTTTATTTAACACAAATTTAATGGTCGGGTAATGTATATTAGAAATAATTACAGATTGATATTATTATTTGAGAAATGCGTAAAAAGAAATCTTAGTGAAATACTGCATCCATTTAAATCAGCGTTTTTAGACGCAATCATTGGACGAAAAATTTATTTTAAAATAACTGTATGAAACGAGATATATATTTTTCTATTTATTCTATTTATTCAATTACGTCAGTTTATTAGTTGAAATATTTACCTTTATAGATCGATGATCGATGGGATAGCCGCTCTTTCTGGTTCCAGGGCTCTCTTCATAAAAATCCTGTTCTTCGTCGTAGTCGTACAGGGATTCCATGTCCATTTTGACTGCAAAGGAATTTCTTTATTAATTACTTAATCACAAGATACTATAGCAAAACAAGCATCGAGTATTATTCAAATTATCGCGTGACAGTAGCCGCACGCAAGAGAAGGAACCTGGGTTACATTTTCGAGCTTGCGTGGTTCTTTGCCTGGATCGCACGACATGACGTCCCAATTATAATTTTATACCGACTTCGCCGACTTGGCACGATATTCTGGTTCGTGGGATACATTTATTTATCAACCGCTAAATAGTCCGCTTTTAGGTACGCGATCGATATCGTCCGGCAAAGAACGAGCCGTGATATAAACGAAGCGAATGTTCTAACAATCAATAATTATATAATTTTGCCTTACGTTTAATCCGATAATCCAATATAATTGGAACGTGTAAAATATTCTACGAGTCCCAACTTTATTGATTTTGAAACATTGATTTGAAACTGCTTGTGCTTTCGCTAAATCGACATATGGAAAAATTTCTGAAAAGATTATTATTTAATGTCGCGTACAATTTGGATTACGTTTAAAACAATCAGGACTGATGTGAATAAATAAAACAAATATAATATATAATTCCCATAAACAAGAATATTATGGTCTTTTTAAAAATTTTAGTCTTGATTTAATTTGTATCGAGTATGCAAGTATTATTTTTGTTCAATTCAAGACTAAGAATCTTCTATATGAAGATTATAATCTTCTGGTTTATACATGAGAATGATTATGTCTTGATTTAAGAATCAATTTTTTTTGTATCGTTTTAAATAAAAAAGTACGGTAGATTGAAATCTTTATCATATAATAAGCTAATTAACTAAGCTAAGTAAAAAATGGATTGGCATTTAACGCAGAAATTTTTCCACAGCTCTTTCTAGCGCAAGAGATGAGAGTTTATTTTATTTTAAATAAATATTCGTCGTTTTGAATATATTTAATAGAAGTTAGGCTTAATTAAGGCTAAGAAGCTATTGTTTCGGATGAGGCGATGTGAGGCACAAGAGATATTCGAATCCGTGGCGACGAAGATCAGGTTACTCCGGCTCGAAACCCCGAAGCCGCCAGATGGTAGACGGAAAACTGTTCGACTACCTCGACACTCTCACGACCCTTTACACGCGGTTAAAATGTGTCTACAAGAGAGATTCGAAAATGTACGGAGCACGCAAAAGCACGCAGTTTCTTTAAAGCGAGCACTTTTTCTAAATCCGACGAAATCCGAGTGAATCAATTATTGTCCGGATTATATCGGTCCAGCTTATCACTCGTGTGTCAAAAGAAATGAATATACTTGAAAGATATCGTCCAACGTTATAATTGGCACTTAATTTATATTATACGCTACCGTGGTTCGTAGGCTGCATCTCGCTCTGTACGATCATAATACTGTGATATTTGGCCTATTTATAGGTTATTTGTGCAACGAATATAGCTTCTCGAGGAGAAAAAGATGAATTACAAAAAAAAAAATCACGAATACGTTTTCTATTATTAAAAACTTATGCGAATAGCAAGTAGTGATTGATGCGTGACACTCCCAGCAGCTCATACACTGTACGATAATATGCAATCAATTAAAAATAATTGCCTAACGGACCGATAGGGTTTATCTCGCGATTTATCAGCACCCCTGCCGCAATTCGACGGCAGCCGGCGATAAAGAAAGCAAATTAAAACGGATCGATTTATTTGCTACGGAAGATCTCTCGTAATTATCTTCATCTGCACGGTTGTTACCTTCAGCGCGAAGATAACGCTCTTTCGGCGAAACGCCGATAATTTCAGAAGTAGCAAATTTTCTTTTCCTTAAACCAATCGGATTAAAGGAAAGTGAAATCAAATCATCGTGTTCCCTTTATCTGGCACCCCGCGAATAATCGGGAACAGACATTCAGATTATCATGTGAAAGTCGAGATTAGCTGCGAAATTCTCCGACTCTGCGATACGACGCCTTTATAGCCGATATGATATCGCGTGTTATTGAACACGCTTACGCGGTCTTACAATTTGATGGGCATATTCCCGTTATCATTCAGATTATCTGCAGCATAGAAAAGAAGATATCGCGCACATTCTCGGAACTTATATATGAATATAGCGAATTAGGAAAAAAGAAAAATAGCATTACTAAAATATTGATCCCCGCCATTTCTGAAGTCCAAAAAGGATCACGTAAACAAAACCCGAAACTGGCTCATAATACTGTCGCTTTTTAACGAAGCTTTTAAATGTTACATGAGATATGTTACTTAATTAATCGCAGTCAACTATTATTGCAATAGCACGAAAACATTTATTTCGGTGCATCATTGCCGATGCTTTAGATTCGAGAAATTATTAATTCTCGTATAAACTTATTATTTTAATAACAATGGAATAATAAAATATTCATTAAATGTATAAACCATATATAAATTTATATTCTTGAACGATATAAATTTACCGAATGAATTCGGTATTAACTTCTGTATAATATTTTTATTTTATAATATTTATACTATTTAATATTTTTATTTTATATTTGTTTGTTCGCTTTCTCCACTTGTACATTGTTATCATCGATCTGGATTATATTTATTGTTATCAGCAGAATTAAACGCCAAGATAGGTAACCAGTTGAAAGCGGATTCAAAACCAGTAAATAAATAAGCTGGTCTGCCAAATTCGATAATGTATTTCATTTTAAATTTTGAAAACACTCGTTTGATGAATGGAACATAGTCGCAATGATGATGCAACATTTATGTTCGCTAACTGAGAGCATAAGCCAAACCGTCATGGGTTAAATATTTCTTTTGTAAGACGCATGCTTTTAGAATGCCTTTCATTCTTGTATCTACCTGCCGAACCAGGCGAAAAAGTTACGGAAAAAGATCTTTCGATAAAAAAGGCAAAATAGCGTCACGTTGTCTCAGGTCTATTCGTTCTGATATAGCGTAAACCTAGTGGGATAATGATCGCCATTGTATCGGCATTCTACTGTACAAAATACCTTTTATTTACTGCACTGTAACTTTTGACTAAAAAAATATATAATGATTAAAACCAATCGTGTACATAGAAATACGGGTTATTTATTCGACTATATATATATATATATATATATATATATATACACAGAAGAAAAAACATCAGAAAATGATGACTGAAAGAATTTTTTTAGAATATAAGAAAGGTAGAAAAATCAAACTCCAAACGAAGCTACCCGAGATATGTTCCAAAAGTTAATTTAATTACTCGAAATCTATAATATGCGTGACATAAACTGTAGAGTTTCAGCAACCAAAATTGGGGGTTTTGGAACTTACCTGTGCAGTTAGAAACATACCGATGATAAATACGTGGGTGTAGAAGAGAGAAAGAAAGAACAGAGTTGAGGCGACAAGTTTTTCACTAAAGCTTTCAAATTGCCATAACAATTTACGTTTCTATCACGATTTATATCATGTTTTGGTTACTAATTTAGTGATAATTTTGTAGCTTCGGAGGGATTCAAAGGAAACTTCAAATTATCAAATTTTGTCTAGTCTCGAAAGAAAATTTTCAGAGACTGCAATTAAAAAAAATCATATAATTCTGATATTTCAAAGATTTAAAGTTTTGATGTTTTCAAAATTCGAATAGTGAGAATAGTCAGATCGAAGTATTCGAAAATCAAATGTCTAAAAAGAATTCTCTTTTCGAGTTTAATAACGAAAATTTTCCTTGTCTTATTTGTCATTCCAAAGCCTTTATTAGTCATTCCAAAGTTATCCTTCGTTTAAACTTATAATATACAGTGGATGATATCATGTCTGCCTTTTCTGTTATCAAAATCGGTTTTATTCTTATTTTATGCGATAAAAAATATTTTAATCTATTTCAATTTTTTTTCATCCCGCAGTCATGACATTCGCGAGATAAATCTTTACATGAAATAAATATACCAACTAATGCCTATTAACCTTTGTTCAACTTATTTTTCATCTCTTTCTAATTCACAAAACTAAAAAATGTAAATTAAATAGAAATTAAGCAGCACTAATTAAAATAGACATCAGAAATAAAATATCTCTTTGCCATTCATGAGATTGATCTCTTAAAAATCAGAGATTGAACAACCTTTCAGTTATTTATAATGATCATCGATAATTTTATATTACATTTGCAGAAAAATAACTTAGAAAAAGTAATAGTACTCGCTTTATTTTTTTCATACTTTTTCTCCGCTCTACGTGTGCACTTGTATCTTACTTTTAATAAGAAAAGTGCTTGCGTTTAATGAGAAGAGTATGATTAAAGAAATCCTCTTTGGAAATCAAAACGGAGAAAAAAAACCTGACAGGAGGAGAATGATAATGTAATTTTTATTTTTCCTTCTTTCTCTCTTTCTATTCCTTAGATTTTCAAAATATTTTTTACGAATTATAATCACACCATAGCGAAAAACGAAAAGGGGGGGGGAAGGTGCTCGTATTTTTAGAATCTCAATCTCCATACGACGCGATCTGCGGAATACGAAGAGGCGCTCCGATGACGCTTCGCTAAATCATAAAACCACCCGCGCGATCTATTCCGGCGCGCATTTCATTTTTTTTCTTTTTTGAATTCGTTCCTTCGTGGAGACGCAAAGATCGCGAAACCACGCTAAATAAGCTCGAGAATGGATTTACTCGACGGAGCCCTTGAATTGCAACCCAGTCGACGGCGACGACCGAGGAATTCCGTTCTTTATGATCCATTCATAACCGAGTCGAGCGAGGCGCGAAGACAAACGTCACGGACGCGGCTCCGAAAGTACGCGGCCGAACCCACGCTAATGACACACGTTTAACGGCCGCGCCGTCGACGGACGACGAACGAGAGACGACGAGGGACCACCGACCGATCGGTGCGATCTCGCGGGGGTGTCGGGGAAAGTCCGGCAACTTTATAAGTCGCTGGAAATTACTTCGTGTTTTGTCTCACGCACTTGTCTCGCCGCTAGCTGGTGCCCCCCGGATTTATCGCTGATAATTTCCAGCCGGTGATACGCTCGCGCACGGGTAACACCATACAAAAACACGGCACAAAGCAAAAATCACGTGTAGGACTGTAGGGCGCACGCACATCGGCAGCAGTACTAAGCGCAACGACGCGGTGTACGGCCCGGTGTATACACAATACAGATTACAGGAGTATTATGGCCGCGCGTTCCTGGCGTTCATGAATGAACTAAGCGCGCTACTAACTTGGCGTCGTAATTTCGGCCGGCGGCCAACGGCTTGCGAATGATCGTACGATCGCGACGTCACGTGATCGGCGGCCTCTCGCCGCCGCCGCCGCCGCCGCCGCCGCTACCACGAACGATCATCGATAGATAGACGAACCACGTGGAAGGCAAACGAGAACAGATATTTCCGCCATATTGAATCATCGATGGTCGATCTTCCGATATTCAAATGATGTGATTAACGTCGATGTTTATGTGCGAATTTATTTTTGCATTATAACAATCTTTTTTTATATAAATATTAATAAATAAATCAATTTGAGATACTGAAGTATCATCGAGGATGATATTTCATGATTCTATTTCATGATTTATCAAAATTGAGGATAATTCGAAAAATTATAAATCATGAAATTTAACACGCAAATTATAAAAAAAGGAGACACTTAATAGAAATGTACGTATTAAATATAACACAGTTCTGATTTTTTACGAAGATGGTATAACGGTCTTTTCAATCAAAACATTTAATTTTTTTATAAAAGTGGTTCGCTGGATATACTTTGCTTACAATTATATTACAAGCTTAATTATTAGTTGAAAAGACGGAAAAAATGAAATCTTTGTTATTTCTCTCATAAAATTTTTATTTTTTATAATAAAATTGCCATATAAAAAATCGTATAAAAAAAGCTGAATAAAAAACAATTTCGTAACTAGATTGAGTTTTAATATAAAAGTTATATCATTGATATAAGTTAGCACAAGTTTACATGCTATGTATAACAAAATAAATTAATAAATAATAATAAATAATAATAATAATAAATTAATAAATAATAAAATATCATTATTAATATTATTATATAATACGATTTATAATATCATTTCTCACATATATATGTATATATATATATATATATATATATATATATATATATAAATAAA